CGTCCCGCCCAGAAATGGGGCGCAAGCGGCGATACGGAGACCCTCACGGGCAAGAAAGCCAAGTTCGGAGATACCTACTTGAGTCGACTGGGTGCCGGAGGAAAGACATCCTATACACCCAAGGGCACGGATTTCAGCGACACCATCCAGGATGAAGAGTGGGAGAAGGTCCGGTTGAGGCGCGAGCTGGCGGAGATTGAGTCCAAGCTGGATTCCGCTAGAAAGGCCTCCGAAGGACGACGCGATCGACCTCGGAACGACGGCCGGCCCAACTGGGTGTTGATTAAGAAAGAAGCACTCCAGCTGCTGGAGTACAAGGAGCGGGAGCTGCGGGAGCTGCGTGAAGGCGCGGGCCGATCCAAAGACGGCCAGAACGTAGAACGTCTCAGAGATGATGTCAAGACCGTTGGCGAGCAAGTCGAGGGATTGAAGAGCCATCTGGCGCAACGGAGGGAGGTGCTCTCTGATCTGCGGGCACAGGTCGAAGAGGCAAAGTTGTCCCGGTAAATCTCTAATCTTTTCCTCGTTCGACTTGCCTTTCCCTTTTCTTGCTTCGTTTTCTTGGATATACTTTTCACCTGGGTTGCTTCTGGTATTTCCTTATTGCTGTGAGGGGTCTACGCTCACGAGCTTTGCTATTGTGTTGTTGTCGTTGTATAGCCATTTTCTTGGCGAGGAGCATCAGGCGCTTAATGGATTGATTCGTGTCTCGTGTGCTTTATTTTCATGCATGCTTCGCTTCCACTAGAGGTGTGATTTGTTCCAACTCATTTGAGTCCTCAGTTTGGACTTGCTCTCGCGCATTACCCGCCTATTACTCCTCCTCCTTTTCCAGTTACCCCCTCTATCTAATGTACAGTACATAACAAGAACGCCCTATAGGCCTAGCCTAGGTTCCGCTTTCCCTGACCTGACGCCCACCCCATAGTAAGTAGGTCATGATGATTGATGAAGGGCACAAACAACCTAAACGCCCGCCTTCATGAGGAATAAACAAAAAGAAAAACGAGAACCAAAAGAAGGAAGAGTAAAGAAATATTACTTCCCAATAATTTGCGCCATTAAACCATCACCATCCCTCTTCGTCTCGACAGCCATGAAGGCCCGTCCAGTAGTATCCAACCCCTTCTCGGCACGAGCATACGCCTCCTCACTGCGATCCGTCAAGATATCCAAATCCTTCTTCGAAAGCAAAGTGGCCGGGTCCGCACCAGCCTCAAAGCTCTCATATTCATCCTGCCCCAGCGCCTTCTTCAAATCATCAACGTCATTGGAGCTAAGTCCACCGGAGTCCAACAGACTCCGGAACTTGCCCTTCTGAATAACCAACCGTTCAAGACGACGCTTCGAGTCCGCTTTCTCTAGCAGCGTCTGCTCCACGGTTCCCTTTGTCGCGAGGCGATAGACAATGACCGGTTTCGTTTGCCCGATACGGTGGGCGCGGTCTTGCGCCTGCAGATCCTGCTGCGGATTCCAGTCGGAGTCGAAGAGGATGACGGTGTCGGCAGCCATGAGGTTGATTCCTTGGCCACCGGCGCGGGTGCTGAGGAGGAAGAGCTTGTAGTTTTTGTCGGTGTTGAAGGCTTTGATTTGCGCGCGGCGATCTTCTTGGCTGACGGCGCCGTCGATGCGGCAGCAGTTCCAGGAGCGGAGTTGCGTGGCCCAGTCTTGGAGGATGTCAAGTTGGGTTTTGAATTGCGAGAAGATGAGAATTTTGTGGCCCTTGTTGAGAAGACAGGGGACTAGTCGGTCTAGGAGGAGCATTTTTCCCGAGGCTGTGACGAGAGTTTCGTCGATGGAGGTCGGGTCGTCCATCCAGGGCCAGTAGAAGTTGTGTGGGGAGTTGCAGGCAAGTCGGGCTTGCATGATAGGGTTTTGCATCTTCTTTTGAGCGATTTCTTTCTCTAAGGGGTGGGAAGGAGATGTTAGTTTTACGATGTAAAGTGAGGGCAGGGATAGGGAGGTGCTTACTGGCAAGCCGGATGGTTTTGGCTCTCTCTTGCTCCTCCTGTTCTGTCTCGCTGGGTTGTTCAGCGATGTCCAGATCTTCTTCTAAGCCTTGCTCGAGTCTGCGAAGTCTAGAGTTGAATTCGCGATCGCTCAGCTCCTTGTAGCTCGACACCTTGCCGCGTCTCCGGGATGTGGGCAATGCTGCACTGGCTGGTGTGGATGAGCGGCTAGATTTGAGACTCTTGTTCGGTGATGAAGCTTCGCTGGTATCAGCGCTGCGTTTCAGGCTCTGAGATCGTGACGGTCTTCCACTCTTAGCCATGAGACGTTCCGTGGCTTTTTCCTCGAGGTACTGGCGACCAGTGCCGTTGAGAATCTCACGATAGAGGTCTTTCTGTTCTGCTGTCAACGGCGCATATAGGATGTACTCCCGCTTCTTGGGAAGGGACGTCTCAACATCGGTCTTCACACGTCTGAGGAGGAAAGGCTTCAAGATCGAGTGCATCGTGGAGACCAGCGTGCGCTTTCGACGTTCCATGACATCCGTCTGACCATTGTTGTCCAGCATGGACGAGAAGTCAAACCAACCCTGGAAGCTGTTGAGATCATTGAAGATCTCAGGTAAGAGGAAGTGCAGTAGTGACCAAAGTTCTGTGATGTTGTTCTGTAATGGTGTGCCCGTGATGAGGAGCCTGTTGGCCGAGTTGTAGGTGAGCAATTCCTTGATCAGTTTGCAGTTCATGTTCTTCAAGCGATGTCCTTCATCCTGCAGACATGTTAGGGAATCGAATCATCTCAAATGGTCATGCGATGGGGGAGCAGAACATACCACAATGATATACCGCCACTGATATTGCGCGAGGAACTTTCGATCGTTCATGCAGATTTCATAGGAAGTGCAGACGACAGGAAAATCCGCACTCCTCTGGTCCTTTATGTTCATGAACTTCCTCCTTAATGTTGCACGTTCATCCCTTGTCCCATGGTACAAGACCGTCTTAATTCCAGGCGTCCACTTTGCAAACTCGTCCACCCAATTGCTCACCGTGCTCAAGGGAGCAGCAATCAGGAAAGGGCCAGAGACATTCTTCTCCTTGAAGAAAGCGATTAGTGAGATAGCCTGAACGGTCTTCCCAAGGCCCATCTCATCGGCCAGAATGCCACATAGTCCATTCATCCACAGCGACTTAAGCCACTCCAGTCCCTCCAATTGATACTTCTTCATCTTCCCTCCCGTCACCAACTCCGGTTGCTGGGTAGCAACCAATTCCTGACCACCCAGTGCCGTTGGATTCGCTTCATACTCATCTGCAGCATGCTCCAAAGCTTCCTGAACCGTCGGCTTATCCTCATCGACCTTCACATCCGCCTTCTTGAAGTAGCTGGAGATGGTGTTGCCATTCGCAGCCGCAGAAGCAGGCTTCCTTCCCCGGCCTCTCCTGGTCTTAGTGGTTTCCTGTTCTTCCTCCTTCTTCCCTTCTTCAGCGGCAGCTTCCGATGTGGTGGCAGCGGACTGCCTTGCACTCGTGCGTGTCTGTCGCCGTCCAACCGGCTCGCTAGCACCCTTGGGTTTGGTTTCAGTCTTTTTCCCTTGCTGTTGCTGCTTGGCTGCTTCAAGTCTCGCCTCTTCCTGCTGTTTCTTCATTTTATCCGCCATGATCGCAACGAAGACCTATCAAGAGAGAGCGAACTCATCAGCAATAGTTCTGCGCCACCCAAATCCCTTCCAACCCCAGGATCGAACAATCGCACCTCACTGGTGTTAAGAAGATGCATCAGCGCCTTCGCCTTCACATCCATTCCCTCAATATCCTCCGATAAATCCATCTTATCCTGCGGCGTGGTCTTCTGGTCTTGGTCGGGTCCATCTGTCATCGGCGTGGACGCCTGCGAAGAGCCTGATCGTGGGGCGAATTCATCAAGGGAATCGGTCCCGGTGATGGGAGTATCTGGATTCGACATCTTCCCAGTTCGATTTTTCGTCTTTCACGGATATCGCTTATAGGGTCTGTCGTTCAGCTAAATATTCCTTCTGCGAGGTCAAATGTCGCAATTGCCTCCCACAGCGGGATACCGGAGCAGAGTGAACTTGTCCGATTGCAGATTCACTAAAAAGGCTTGCGGTGAGTCTTTATCTCCCAGATGTCCTGCAACTCCGTTAAACAAGAGGCGATAAGGATGCCCTGTAATTGGGACCAGAGCATCAACACTGGGCAGGCAGCCTGCACACATGACGGACGGGCGGCGCGCCTTTGTTCTCCCACGCGGATTTTTCGCGTCAGCGCACGGACCACCTCTAAATGGGTTTCTGCCTTTCACATGAACAACCGCTTCTTCCTCTTCCTCTTCCTCTTCCTCTTCCTCTTCCTCACAAAGGCACACCCTACTTGATACAGTACTGCAAATACTGCAAACGATATTATATAGTCCTGGTACTTGTGGACCTCACCGATCATCGTGATAATGAATCATGATTTGAATAGTGTATCGTGGTTCTGCTATAATCAAAGCCAGTTCTGCAGGACCCGGAAAGAACCGTATATCTGTGGATTATCCCCCGACATATGAACCATCATCATCATCATCGTGATGCATGGCTGTGTTCAGTGCAAGTTGCCAGCTTTTAAGGCAGCTACCCTGTACCCTCTATCGGGCCCCAGTGACACCTTTGTTGTCTTGCAACGGAACATATCAAGCATCCACGCGTTCTTTGTCTCGATGCAAGAAAGATATTCACGCCATGGTGCTGACGTCCTTCGATGCCCTTTGCTAAGCCTTTATGTCTCTTCTCCCAGAAGAGACAGTTTCCTACTAATCTAATAGAGTCCATTAGGGACCTTCCATTCAATACTGCATACCCCGTACAAAGGACTCCTGTGGTTTATGATACCTGAGCTTCCTCCACATATCCATGCTACAACATATAAGATGCAGAGGGACAACACTAGGTCTCCCAATTTCCTGCTCGCCCATTTCAGTACAATCCCGGCTGGATTTAAGCTAAGCAAGAAACAACAACACTCTCGCAAGATATACCTCGCTCAGGCATCATGGATCGGTTGCCCCCCGAACTGCATGTAAAAATCGGCCGATATCTCTGGTTCAAGGATTTATACCAGCTGGTTCTCGTCTCGAAATTCTGCCATTCCATTTTCACCCCGGAGCTTTATCGCGAGATTCAATTTCGAGGAGTATACCGGCTGTGGGAACCCAATTTCCACATGGACGAGGATACCTCTTCTGCCCGATGCCTCCCTTATGCCATCATTGAAAACCCAGGTCTTGCTGGTTTCGTCCGGTCGCTGCAGTTGGTCCCATTCATAAATCCGGGTACTCCAAAGATTGAGCTGTCTAGAGTTCTTCAGGAAACAGGACGGGGAGACTTCTTGCACTCTCATCCGCTGACCAGACAGATGATCCTGCGTTGGCATAAGGAACTTGAATCCGACCCAAGACTCGATTCCTGCCAGCCCTGAGGAATCCCTGGTTCGCTCTGCTATTGCTTCAGCTAAAGTATCTGCAACATCTTTATGTTTTCTTGCAATGCGATGAGCACGGGCATGGCCAAAAAGGCCCCGCTCCCACGCCACATTTTGACGAAGTCATCTCCTGGGCAGCAAACCCTGAATCAGGGATCTTCACCCGCTTGACACATCTCACACTTGATGAATCTCAAGCACGTTTTGATTATAAACCGCCAGGTATATCCGTGATCCGCCTGATTCCATTTCTCGAAATCTCTTCCTTAAGACATATTCGTGTTACGCGGATTGCCGATCAAAACGAACAAGCTCTCCCTCGCAAGTTCAACAGCAAAGTAACCCGTCTTGACGTCAAACAGTGCGATAAAACCTTCACTCAATTACCGCAGCTGCTCATGGGGTGTTCAGAGCTCGAATCCTTCACATGGACGCTTGAGGAGTCAACACACCACCTATTCAGGCGTCCGCACCGCCCTGGCTTTCACTGGGAACCAAACCGCGCATATGATGCCATTTACCAACTCCGCTTCACGCTGCGACACCTTAGTATAAAATCTCACATATGCCGTGGCGACCTCTACCTTCATCACGATGTGGAGTATCCCCAGCCAGCATACTTCGGGTCCTTATGTGACTTTCCTGTCCTAGAAACCCTACAAATGCGGATGGTTAATCTACTGCCTTTTCAACCCGGCACTCGTGTCCCGACTTCTCCTCTGTGGAAAATTCTCCCAAGTTCGCTGCGGTTCCTCTCCATAGACGGTTGCCTTATGCAGACATCTAATATGCTGTGCGATGAGCTGGAGGACTTGGCAGCACATTGCCAGACACATCTCCCTCAGCTAGAAAAGGTGCACATTGCGTATTCCCATTATGAGAAGATAAATGGGCAACAATGTCTAGCCTGTGAAGGCCCGGGTTCTGTCATGTCGTACAAAGAAGTTAAGGCAGACCCGGCGATCGTTGCTCGGCTTCGGGCATTGGGAGTCAAATTTAATAAGCAAGGGGTAAGGCTCCGCCCCTTCGGTAAGTTCAAGGACGGGAAATATATCGATGATGCTAACCGGTGGTGGTACTAAGTATTATGAAGAGTTGTTGAACAGGGCTTGTGATTATGGTCAGTGTCTTAACTTCAATATCACTTTGCTTTTTTTTTAGAAATTTACGTTTACTATAATCATATTATGGATCGGCTGTATTAGGCAGATGTGCATCAGTCTCCCTACTGAACACCGATAACTTTCATTTGAAATAGTCTAAGTTAAAGTATCAGAAGGCAAAATAGTTAGTGATGTGGGTTATCAAGCAAGGCCCTCATACATAAAACCTGATGTAATATTTAATGTCTGTATTCGACTTGGCTGTATACAACAGTGTAATGTATAAAAAGAAAGTTAGATACATGGCTTTGCAATACATATTGATGCAGTGGCGAGTCCAGGCTCTCTCCCCTCTTTTCATAGATCTCAATAACGATAAATCACATGCTATGCTCACCAGCAGAATCTTGATAGTGATACAGTGGCTTCGTGAAATGCTTTTCTCTGTCATGGTGTGTGTGTGATCTTTATACTAACCCCATGCTCCCCAAGAGGTATATATATACTAGAACTTTGTAAAATCCAACTCGGACTGTTCACGACAAAACGCACTGCGCCCTCTCTTCAAAAACTTCCCGTAGCCCTTCTGACCTACAATACCCCCGTTATCCCGATCCCAGATGACCTCCCCACGCAGCAGGGTGTATCGCGGCCACTGGGTTACCATGTGCCCTTCATACGGTGTATAGTCCACATTATGATGTAAAGCGGAATTCGTGATAGGGAATGGTTCCAGAGCAGATGGATACCAGATCGTGAGATCCGCATCGGAGATACCCGGGATAATGGAGCCTTTCTGCGGATATAGTCCGTACATTTTGGCTGGGTTGGTGCTCGCGACCTCAACGAACTTCTGAGGAGTGAGACGGTCGGAGTTCCAGACTAAAGGAAGACGTGTTTCAACTCCCGGGCAGCCGTTGGGGACATTTCGGAAGCGGCCTAGGGGTACGTCGTCTTTCATAGCGATCTTTTTTCCGCTGACATCGTCGTCGAAGAAGTATGGGCTGTGATCAGAGGAGAGGATTGTGAATGTTCCATTTTGCAGCCCAGTCCAGATGCTTTCCAGGTCGTTCTCACCCTCGCGGGGTGGGGGTGAGCATATGCATTTGGCGCCCTCGAAGCCGAGCTTGTCGAGGTCTTTCCTGGTCAGAAACAAATACTGTGGACATGTCTCAGCGAAAATAGGCCATCCGTTGGTCTGCGCGCCGCGAATCGTGTTGGCGGCTAGCGGCGAGGAAACGTGGACGATCAAGATTGGTGTGTGGATGAATTGGCTCAGGGATATGGCTCGGCTGGTAGCTTCACTCTCCAGGATTTGGGGCCGCGAAGTGGCATGATATTTCGGTTCTAGTAATTGGCGATTTTCGAGTTGCTCAGTCATCCAGGTGAGCATGTCGCCGTTTTCAGCATGGATAAGTACGGTTACTCCATCTTTGCGGCCCTGCATCAAGACATCCATAACCTGGCCGTCACGTAGCTGCATAGATTCGTAGGTCATGAATATTTTGGCTGAGGACACGCCACGTTCGCGAAGAATGGAAAATTCGTCGAGAACCTCTCTGTTTGGGTTGGATATCATAAGGTGGAGAGCATAATCACAGTATGCAGCATTTTCGGCTTTCTTTTGCGCTGTTTCCAGCGCCTTGACTAAGGATGGATCAGACTTATCCTGAGGAGCAAATGCGATGATGCTTGTTGTGCCACCAGCAATAGCAGAGCGGCTTCCTGTCGTGAAAGTATCGGACGTTTGACCCTGGCCTCGCGGTTCGGCCAAGTGGACATGCGCATCAATGCCGCCTGGCTAATAGTGACGTGTCAGTGATTGAGACCATTACTGTACTTTCTGTATGGATGAAACTTACCATAACATATGCACCCTCGGCGTCAATAACTCGAGAAGAGCGAGCTATGGCCAGGGACCGCGCAGGAGCAAGTATAGCAATCTTCCCATCTTTGATGCCAATATCATACCGACCAACATCAGCGGCCGTAACAACGATGCCATCTAGCACAACACAGTCAAATGAAGTAGTGAGCATTCTAGGTGCCAGTGCAGCTGTTTCGCCTTAACAACCCTTTAGGGAGTGGACTAAGGTATTGAGATCGTGGAGAAGCAGAAATATTCCCTTGTTTAGGGTACAGTGATTCATCGTTCTAGGCAGGATGAACGCGACACCATCAACGAAACCGGCAAACAATTGCCAGACTTTCAACGTAAACCACACCACTCGAACTCGATAGATCTACTTATCTCCAGACTGATCAGTAGGGGATGAGCTTACCCACTATCGACCCCGGTTTCTCGGGGCTTTAAAATACCTTTATAAGGCATCCCAATAGTCTCCAAAACCCTGAAAGTTTATCGCCAGATCAAACCCCGAATTGAATCATGGGTGCTAGTGGCTGTCAGATCCTAGGTCGAGAGACTCCAGCGTACGTAGACAACCACTGTTGTCGGATAAACAAGTCATCCAGCCGAGCGAAACAGGTTTAATGCCAATTACAGATAGTATCCCCATAGTTTAGACCATCGTCATGTGGCGTCGTGGTGATTAAGGTTATCACGTCGAGTACCATCAACCTTCTTGTGGATACAAGTACCTTCGTACACACTCTTACATGGAACTGATCACCTAGTCATCTGGGTCTTCTAGGTCGGTATTATGCACTTTCAGCAAGCCTGCCGAGAAGCGAACCCACAGAAAAGGGCACAGCCAGCTTATCGACACAACTGTGACACAACCGGGAAGGAACCTCTGGTGTTGCAAGGGCTCTGATGGATACACGATTCCAGGGGCGATTGTGCCATTTTTGGTAGCATCTCGCCTCTCCTGGCAAGCTGATTTCATGGTGCAATACTCCTCCCACAAGCCTCGAATGGTTATCCTCCTTTCGGTCTCGATAGCGCTGGGTACTAGATGACTTCCTTGGCTGCCTAAGCTTTAAGCAGTGCTAGGCTCAGTTGGAGGCCTGCTGTCCGCTCGGCGCTTCGAAGTAACTGCTCTTGTAGACCGCATCTATCACTTGATGCCGATGACCCGTTCATTCAGCTCGTAAGAGTGGGCCTTGGATGCTGGCTCAATGGCTTTCAAATCGAGTAATGGTTCCACCTCAGCTCCTGCCTTTCGCGTATTAGATCCTTTGCCACTGTAAACTTATTAGGTATGCTTTTCGATTTGGGAAGAGATAGTTTTGTGCCGGGTATGTCCGTAGTATAAACCTGGCAAGCTGAGGACTTGATCAACAGCCCTTTTTAAAATGGAGAGTTAATGGCATTACCCAATGAGTAAGGTTTGTCCCCAAGACGCACTTACCTGGAGTGCTTCGAGAGGCTGCTGACATGGATCATGAATCTCAAATATGATGGGCTATAGGTCGCATACCTACATTGACGAGTTGGGGATTGCACAGATGAAGAAGTAAAGAGATGAAGAATGAGAAAGGAAAGCTCCCGTGACTCGTAAATAATATCACGCGAACGTGTTCTGGTGTGGCCCTGTACACCCCAAGATTCACGAATAGATGCTGTTCCAATCTCTTGGCCTCGCGTACTTCTGGTGGCTTCTAGTTCTTGATCTTGCACTTAGATCGCAAGTAATTTTACTCTTGAAGGACTAAACCCGCTGGGAGTGGCTACAAACCTAAGAAAATCAGCAAATACAGAAACGTCGGACAAAGAAATTCAAAAGGTCTAGGTTGTATAATGCATCTCGGTTCCGTCTTTGGGGCCAGATATTCACTATGGTCGATATTACTCTTTGCTGCGTGCAAATTACATTTGATGGTGAAGGAGCATTAACGAAAATGTGGTCAAGGTAAACGGTAAGGAGTCTTCAACAGCAACAGTCTAATTCTCGCAATTTCTGAGATACCTGGTCAGTCTAATTCGGGTACCATTGCTCTAGGGACGGGCATTCTCGATCTTCTTCCCTAGTTTGCGTCCTTACTAGAGTTTCTTGTGAGTGGCTATACAGGTAGAAGTACCACCTCGTCATAGTCGTTGTCATGGCCATCCTCGCTGCTGTCATCTCCGTCGCTCAGCTTTTCAGACAAATGCACTTTGTTCTCTTTGGAGACTAATGATTCGGCTGGACGTTTCGGGGGGGTTCCCAGCCTCGAGTCTTCAATTAGCACTTCGTGACCCGAATTCTGTGCGGCTGATTCTCTGAGGACCTTTCTTGCTTCCAGTGGGAACTGCGGTGCACTGGTTACATGCGGTGATTGTTTGTTCTCATCTGCGGGAAGACAGTCGGGACTTGTGGTGGATACTGCTGTATTTGGGGTGGCTTTGGGGGTCCAAATTACGGGGCTCGAAGTTCTCCCTGATTCAGATAAGGTAGCATACGTGCTGCCACTGCTTGATCTGAGTGGAATCTCTTTGCGTACCTCTGATGCTGAACTTCCGTGTCGTGGGTCAGGCCTCGATGAAAAGGCGGTTTGGCCTGCACGCCTGTCAGTCATACTTCCATAAGGGAGCCTGGTCGGAGGAACAAAGGCTGCATTCTGGGACCTCCTTGCGTCGAATTTGTTGCCGTGGGTATTATAAAATGTCCCAAGGATTGGTCGTGGCCCATTAAATGACAGACTCGTCAGAGGCATCTCCCAAGGTCTCGATGCCAGCTTGGGAATTCTCCATCTCGTATCGCAAACATGAGCAGCTTTCTCCGCGCCAACGCTCAGACGACAGGGCTCACTCCCTCGAGGGTCATAATACACTACCTTGTGTCTGGGTTGAGAATCTTTGTTACATTGCCTGGGCTTGTTGAAACGGAATTGGTGTAGGTACTTGTTCCTTTCAGAGTTCGGGCAGTATTTGGCCATTTCATACGCCTGTATCGTGCAATTATCATCCGGGTCAGGCACATTAACATTTTCGTCCCCTCGTGCTGAGAGACCTGTTGCATCAAATTCTGCACAATCCACTAGGCGCTGCTGGGTCCTCTCGTCATCATCGAGACACGGCTCAATGTCATCGTCTTCAAGGGCCTGCCAAGCAGACGTACCATTACCCCATTCTCCTGCATACTTGCGGTTGAGTCCACGCGTGCGCAGAAACAGTTTGGCATCTAGCAGCTCACTTTGCTGGCACATTGAAATGTCCGAGTCGATCTGATTCTGTAATTTTCCGGAAACCTGACGGGAAATTTTGCTGAAGATACC